GTATGAAAGGCAGCTATCACACACACAGTAGGGAACAAAGCCCTTTGGAACAAAATGCTTATTTAAATCGACTTTTGTGCTGTGGATTCCCACTTCTCCTCAGAGAGCTGAGAGTCTCCACATGACAGGTCCCTCCTGTCTCCCCTTGTTCAGAAAAGTCACTGTTTTTCCTTCTTGGGCCTGTTTTGTGCTGCTGCTCACTCCAACTGAGAATCGCTACAGCTCTCTCTGGTTCACCTTGGATTTTAGAGCACGGCTTGGCTTTGCATGAGGTGCCTTCCAAGCAGCAGCTGACAAAGGCTAACTTCTAAAGGTCATCCTAATCAGCTCTTCCAGACACCAAGAACTTAACAGATGATATTACTGGAGCTGTAGGCTGTAGAAAAGAAGTCAGAAATTGTTTTCGGCACATGCTACGACATTGTAACCTAATACTCAGCCAAATCATGTACTGTGCCCTGGGCCAGCTGCAGAAAATATACCATTTAGCTCGCCGTAACGTATGCACCTAAACCACATCGATAAATCATATCCTACAAATGCCCTTATCCTCCACTCCCAGTGATGAAGGCAGCCACAGATAACTAACTCAGAAGCAGCTGCCCATGCTGTAGACATGGGAAATACGAGAAGATGAAGCCCAGCTGTGGAGAATAAGAGGACATAAGATGCTGCACCAAGGGAAACAGTCTGGTATGGCAGGAGAGAGACGAGTACAACCCATGGCAGCCTGCTTTGCAACGCCTCCAGCTTAGCAGAGCGATAAAGCATCAGCGGACAGCAGCAATGGAGGAATCTATGCCTTTTATTCATTTATTTCAGAAAAATACTTTTGTTGAGTTTATCACAAAAGTCATTTAACAACAAACAACAACAAACAAAATCCGTACAAAAACGTAAGTGACAGGAAGAATGAAACAAATGGGATAAAATGTCAGAGACTGTTACTTCCCCCCACCCCCTCCAAAATTAGGAAATTTGCACTAAAGCATAAATATGGAAGAACAGAAATTTTCCTCGACTTCCTTTGCTGAAGTTTGGTCCGTCGAGTTCAACACATTCAAAGAAAAACTACGTGCCTCTGCCTGGCTTTTACAACGGCCATTCTCCCCCACTGCCAACAAAACCCCCCACAGCCCCGAGGCGAAATAACATACTGTTTGCACATAAAACCTATCAAACCAACCATCTATTACACACTCACGAAGTTTACCGGCAGGCTGTAAATCAGCCCCCATAATCTCCATCTACTGCTGATGCAAGTTGGGGTCCAGCTACCAAGACTTCATCTAAGGCAAGAGACTGAGGCTGCTGTAAATGCCCATGCACTGCAGCAAAGGCAAGGTAGCTACAGGCTTCAAAAGTCACTTGGAGGCAAGGGGGAGGCATCCTAGAGTAGTTGTTCTTCCCTCCAACCAGGAAGCCTATCAAAAATACATTTTAAAACGGTGAGTTAAGGGTAAGGGGACCTACAGGGGAACTGGAACTTGTCTTCTTTACTACTAACCCAAACATGATGAATACGAAAGAATCCTAAACAACAACAAAACAAATGCAACTGTAATGCCCCATAACATGAGTCGCTCAAAAATTGTATGTGAAATGCTACATCTGTTCTTCCTCTGCCTCTTTCTCTTCCCAAGCCCATTCCCCAACTATCCAAGACAAAAAGAGAGAACTACAGCTGGTATTTCACAGCTCTTCTAGGCTAGGGCAGGACAACACTATGCTCCATACCAAAAATCACCTACTCAATGACTTACTCAATCCCTGACCTTATCAGGTAGGATAATGGACACAGACTACAAAAGCAGCCTCAAGCCCACAGGAAAGGTGCAAGCAAAAGCGTGACACCGAAGTAAAGACTTGCAGTTTTGCATAGTCTCTAACACTTTCTGCTCTGTGGTGGGCAAGAGCTTCTCTTTGGGGTTGGATCTTTTTTGCAGAAGACACAGGGCTTGACAAGATGGGGCACGAGAAGAGCATCCACTCAAGGAAAGTGAACTCATGACATCTTTGTACGCAGAGCGGTCAAGGAAAGACTGACCACCAAGGGCCTGCAATGAAAATACTCCCATTTGGGAACGAAAAAGCTCTTTGGGCTGAAGAGAAGGCTCGGTCTGCTGAGAAATGACGTGGATGTAGAAGCAGTTACTGCGGGCTGGCAGCTGAGGGATGGTGCTCACAGTAGAACACAGAGACAGAAGCAGCCCCTCCGATGGAGGGTGGATTGCAAACCTCTGGGATGACAGCGCATATTGCCTTAAGACAAAGGCTCAGCTCAAAAAAAAAAAAACTTGCCACATTTGGGTATAACAGGAGAAGGAATGAGGATTTCTAAGGACTAAATATAGGGGTGGGCAAAAAAAGCCCCATCATCTATAGGTTTAAAAAAAAAATATTAAAACAAACAAACAAAAAGAACACATGGAAACACTTCCAAAACAAACTGTCCCTTTTACTGGTAGCTCTATCAAAAAGAAAACAAAACCCACATAAATGTAGCATATGTTGTACGTATGTTGTAAAGAGGGAGGACGTTCAGCTACTGATATAGTACACAGATCAAGCGTACAAGAGACGACACAGCAACATAAGGCACTTGGGATACAAAGCATAATTAGCTACTGTATGAAGACGCAGGATTGTGCAAATGGAAAAGCTGCCTGAAGCGAAGCAGGCAGGAGGAGGAATCACTCAGCAGCCAGTTTTTGGGGGGACTGTATGTGTCACCTATTAACAGAGCCAATATCTCAGCTGCTGCGAGGCACCGACTTTGCAGAAAGGACCGGCTGAGGCTCCGGAGAGATGCCGGCCAGTGGTTGCCCTCGCAGGGCACGTGGCAGTGGATGGCTGGGGATGGGAAGAGGCAGCAGAAAGGCAAAACCTCTCATACTAGACCTTTTCCACGTCCTCCCTAACATAAAGCTCTTTTCCCCCTCTGATCACATTGCACTGCGGGTACTGTGGCTGCCTCTGAGCCAAAATGTGTATTATTTACCCGGCAAGGGCTACGAGGAGCAATTGCAAGTTACCACCAAGGACTCTGCTCCAGTCTCCTTCCTCAGTTCCCCTGAAAAAGGAGGGATCCCTCTCCTGCCGAAACCTCTCATTTGACACTCAGATGTCGTGGGGATGGGGGAACAAGTGGAATTTGACCAACTGTGCTCATGTCCCTGCACATTTTCTGCCCCCGGTGCCCCAGCATTAGCTGGGGCTCAACAAGGAGAGGGGACAAAAGACACCTACAGAAAGCAGAAAAAAAACCCAACTCAAGTCAAAGAGGGGCAGAAAATCAACTGTCACCCCTTCCTCAAAACACAAATGATGCGAAGGACAACTGGGCCAGCCTCAACCTAGAATTGCACTCGGAGAGAGCCGGAGTTCAGCTGCCCGAAGGGCTGAGCAAGGGGCACGCTAAGGATCACCTGCCTCCCTCACCCACCAGGAAGGTGGACCTCAATCCTAGCCTGCATATTGAAGAGCACCCCAGCTCCCCCCAACTCTGTCCCCTCTCTTTTCACCCAGCTGAGGGAGCACACCGCTCACCTGTTCCTGCCACGGCGAAGCAGAACTAAAGCTACAGCCGGCTTCGCTGCACAAGAGGCACCAACAGCAAAGCCCAGCTACAGAAACTGCCCCGGAGAAGAGCTGTGGGGTGAGAGGTGCCCGTCTACTACATGCCTATCAAACCTAGACTGGTGCATGGCACCCCAAACAAGCTCAGTGAGATGGCACTGCCCCACGAAACCCCAGGCAGAAGATGCTGCTCCCCAGCAAAGGGGCAGCAGGGGACCGAGCCGGTGGGATCTGGGGTTCCCACGAAATCTCCTGCCAGCATGTATACGTGGCAGCGGGTAGGAGCAAGAGGGGAAAGTGGTCTGCAGCAACAGACAGCCTCTGAGGTAGTTTTGAGACAACTCCATCTGCCAACAGCTATGCATCACAAGTCAGGCTTTTCCTAATATGCAAGCTGCTCCTTGCAGCCCCGGCTTCCTTTCCCTTCCCTGTCATCTCATTCACAGCTCAGAAAGGGATGAAGGGGCTCGGTTTTTTTGGAAGAAAACCTGCATTTGATAGCACCTTGGGTGGATACAAGCTCTGTATCCTTTGGAAACAAAGAGTGAAGCTGGTGGCTGCCGATGGCACGGCTGGACTGGGATGGGAGGGATGAGGAAAGCTAAGGTGACAGCATGAGGGGCACAGTGCCATTGATGTAAAAACCCTTTGCAGCAGCCAGTCTGTCATTTGGATGTGGTCACGGCCAGGAGAACACCAGGTCCACAAGGCACACACAAGCTGGCAAAGGGCCTGGGCTGACAGGAGTTAAGCCAGTGCTCAGAGTGGGGCAGGACTCAAGGTTTCACGTAGACCTGAGGATGCTGCTGCCCCATGACAAGGCACTGCAAGCTGCAGAGCCCTGAGCCCAGCTCTTGGAGCTCAGAGGTCCAGCAGCTCACCTCCTGCAGCCAAGAGGGTAAAAGACCCCAGAACAGCAAAGGCTAGGAGGTTGGCCTTCTATTTGAAGAGGGAAATTCTCTCCCTTCTCTGCTGCCCAGCTCTCCAAAATTAGCTCAAAATCAGGGGTCCACCATGAGACAAGACACAGCTGAGGTTCCTTCCTCAGACCCCGGTCTCTACTTGGAGCATCACCATCCTGCGGCACTTGCCAAGTGCTGGCCAAACGTGCCCCAGGAAAGGCAGCCCTTGCCCGAGAGCACCCCTGAGCCTCAGGGTCACAGAGCCCCAGCGCATTCCCCAGGAGCCTGTTCCCATAACAGACATGCGGTGCCTTTAGGCTGCCGTGGCCCTGTCCCAGGGGCTCAGGGAAGCACCATGAAGAGAGGGGAGGAACATGCTGTAGAAGAAAAAAGGATTGTTTGGAACCATCTATGATGCATTTGTAACAATAATCCAAAATAACCAAACACTAAAATAGAAAAGAAAAAAAATTGCACGCTGATTTACGATGAAACAGAGGAAGGCAAAACCAGGAGGGTTGGAAGAGGTTCCTACAAGGGGAAGGGAGCAGGGGAAAGGGACCTTTTTGGTTTTATTGCAAATGGTTCAAGAGAGCAAGAAAGGAAGGGAGGAGAGCGAGAGACACCTTGGGAAGATGACCGGTTTCCAAGCCATTCAAGACGACGCTCGTGAGGACCAGGAGGAGGGGCTGCTTCTTAGTCCCGGTATCTCGCCCTCCTCCCCAGGAGACAAGCCTTTGCTTCTACGGCGATTTCAGCTTCTTAGTTCGCGGTGAAGTGCCGTTCTCCGCTTTCACCACTCCATTTTCGTGGTAACCTGGGGATGGAGAGAAAAAAAACTCTGTCCCTTGCACAGGCCAAAACCTTAACCCTCTTGGGTCTGGCCCTTAGACATGGGGAAAACCCCCACCATGGCACGACCCCGCTGAGGACCCCCTGGGCTCAGCACAGAGCAGGAGGCACCGCCGCACCATTGCCTGCACGGGCGGCAGCCGGCTGAGGGGATGCTGAACCACAGGACTGATGGCTCCCACGGTGCCAGCCCATAGTACACCAGTCCTGGTACTCACCCGAGTCCCTCTTGAGCGGCTTGGTTTGTTGCTTGGTGCCGGCGGCGGCAGCGGCTCGCTTCCGACTGCTCTGCTCGTTCCAGTACTCCCTCCAGCGCCGCAGCTGGAAGTGGATGAAACGCCACATCACCGAAGCCTGGAAGAGGCACACCAACAGCAGCACACTCATTCTGGTAGGGGTGGAGAAGAGGCAGGCTGAGAACAGAGGAGCAAGACCACCACCAGCCCAGCTTTCCACCCACATTGGGGCTGCTGGCTGAGGTCCCCCGGGTGGCTGCACCAAGTACCGAAGGCAGGCACCGTCCCTCCAGCCACCATCTCTACTTTTTGCCCATCCCCTGAGCTCAGGGCAGCCACTTCCCTTTCCCTCCCCACATAAAGCTCTCAGGTGCTCAGGGCGTTGCTGACTCTTAAGACTTTAGGGCAGGAATGGACGAATTGGATCATCTCAACCAGCACTGCCCAAACCACAGTCTGCACCGTCAAGGTAAGACATCCCCAGCTGCTCTGTACAACTAAAAGGTGGATGTGGTTGGAAGGGATCTAAGAAAGTCCCCCAAAACCTCAGGTGTGCCAGCAATCCATGGCTTCAAAAAGCTTGGGAATGACCAGGTACCTGACCTAGCAACTTCTGAACTGGACCTACAGCTGCTGTATGGGTAAGAAAGGCTCCCAGTCTTGACAGACAGACTGCAAGGCATGAGGAACCCATCCCATCCTCTGCTTCCCACATCAACAGGCAGCACGACATGTCCAAGCAGAAGGGAAAATGCCTTTTCACTGACCACATCAACGTAAGTGCAGTTACAGGTGCAGAAGGGAAAGCCTGCAAGCCTTTCTCTAAGATAGACTCGTGCTTGGAGTCTCCCTCTTCAAATAACTTCACTCAATGAGCAACTTATTCGCTGGCTTCTCCCCTCCGTTGTGGCTCCATAGCCTTTAACCCCTCCTTGCTCCCTCCACACCCTCCCAACTGCTAGGACCTTCCCTAAAGGGAAGCTAGATCAGATCCCCATTGGCATTTCCAAACTCAGCAAAACCCACCTTGGGATAACACAACCAAGGAAGATACAGTAGGGACATTCCTACCTGAAGAGGATATTGTTGAAGAGAAAGCTGAAGAAGTTCCCTCTCTCGGGGTTGAGGGCCTGGTTCTCCACCCGTGGCAGCCCAAAGCCGATGACCAGGATGTACAAGGTGAGGGTGAAGAGCTTGGTGACCACGAACACGACAGCCCAGACATTAAACCTGCAGGAGGGCAAGCAGAGGTGTCAGCAGGAGCAGCCTCCAGCGCCGAGCCAAAAGGTGAGAGCCAGCCCCCCGCCATGCTGACATCTCTCCTGGGCACTGGAGGATGAAAGACACGGCCAGCTCGCCTGCTTACAGCTTCTCGTTGTTCTCATCGGTGAAGCAGACCAGCCGGGCCATGTGGAAGAAGAATTCGGCTAAATACTGCAACAGCAAGAGGATCAGCCCCAAGCGGGTTAAGCTAGGAGGGAAAAGAAAGAAAAAAGCATCACTGGGCTGGTTGACCTCGGTCCTTCATATCCAGTAACAGCATCTCCCTTGCCATCCCTGAGCTGCAGTGCCAGCCCACAGCCGGACCTTTCTGCAGCAATGGGGGTAGGATTGCAATGGGGGAAATCCCTCTCCCCAAAACATGAAAGCAGCCCAAACCAGTAGCAGAGCTGGGATGGATCCAACACAAAACCCTAACTTCTGGCAATGCTGCTCTGTGCACACACTCAGAGGAAGGATAAGAGTTTGCCTGCCCATGCCATGCTGGGAGGGCACCCCAGGGTGCTTCTCACCCCCAGGGGAGATGCACCTGTCAGCCTGTGTTTTGGGTCCCTGGTTAACATTTGCTTTACAAAGCCCTATGAACAGAGACTGCCCGTGCACTCACGTAACACTGCTGAACTCCTTCAAAAATCAGTTCTGTGAAAACTGTTCAGCTAACGGTCCACTGTCAGGAGGTCAGCTTCAGTACCATCTGCTTTTTAAGCACTCCCCTTTATTCCCTTTAAGCCCCCCACCCTGCCGAGGCTTCCCGGTTGACTCGCACTGCAAAAGGACCTGCACAGCCCCATCCGCGGCACAGGACAGGATGCCAAGGCAGCCAACTCACTTGAGGAGGTACGCGCCGGCGATATGCACCAGGTAGAGTGCGATGCACCGCAGCTGGCGGGGGATCTCCTCCTGGAAGGGGCAGAAAGTCACGTTAACCTCTCGCCCCTCTTCACCCACCCTCTCCCAAAGCTCACTTTCCCCAAAGCCAGCGGACGAACCACCTCAAGCATCCCCAGGGTGCACAGGAGCGCCCGCCTGGCTCTCACCTTGCGAACTTTTTGGAAGTAGAGTTCTGGCAGGGCATGCAGCCAATACGCCAGCTGGCACAGGTAGAAAAACTTCACCTGGAACCTGAAATGCAGGGTCGAGCTGCATGAGCCAGCCTGGGGCATTGCAGGACCCCAAGGACCCAGGCACCGGGGAAGGCATCTGGCCACACAGCCTTGGGCAATCTCTCCGCTGCTTTGAAGCCACGGGATTTAGGAGGCACCATTTCTGAACTGAAATTACATGTTGAGCTGAGCTAGCCGCGCCCGGAGTTTATCCAGATGCTCGTGCTGCGGTCTCCATGCTCTCAGCAAACCTCACTCTTGCAAAACCCCAAGAAGGGAGGATTATCCTCCACTTAGTTTCTACTATAAAAAATGAACATCAAAGAGACTTGCCCAAGGTGATGCAAGCAGGAAGCAGCCAGGATGCGTAACCAAGCCCGCAGGACCTTCCTCACGGAGGAAACCCTTCGGGAATACCCTCCCCTGGGCCACAAAGGAGAAATTCCCGATCCCCCCGGATCTCACTGCAGCATCCTTGCAGCAGGGTGCGTGCAAAGGACACTGCGCTGTCAGCACCCCGCTCCCAGCCACAGGGAAAACCATATAGAGGAAGGAAGCAGTCAGCCTTAGAACAAAATGCCCTTGTGAGTGCTTACGGAAGATAAACATGCGGGTAGTTTTCCCACAAACTCCGGGGGTTTGATATGTATCCTTCCTGAAAAAGAGAAAAGATGCAAGCCTTCAGCAAAAGAAACAGGCAGCGCATGGTGACGATGGGGTGGGCTAATGCTACAGCGAAACCAGGCACTGGGGATGGCACCCGCGGCCTTTCAACCTGCAGTAAAAACCATGTCCCCTGCAAGAGCCAAGGCTGAGCTCTCCAAAGCTCAGCCACGTTCATGGGTCTCTAGCACCTTGCTCAAATTTCATGAGGCCCCTGTATTTGGGGGTTGAAGGCTGCTTGCTCAGTTGCACAGAGGGTTCCAAGTTCAGGATAGGATGTTTCGAGGTTTGGGCAACACAAGAGGGATGCTCTGAAGGCTTGGGGTCAGACGCCTGTAGCATGGCTCCAAGCAACCGCATGCATGATCCAGGTGGGCTTCTTCCCCACCGGCATTTCCAACTCAAGTATCACTTAAGCAAAAAGAAGTACTTCTGAAGAAAAAAAGGGAACAGAAAACACCTACAAAAATAATTAAACCATGCAATGCATACTAAATTTTCCACCTGCCTGCAGTCACCTACAGCCTCCTGCCTTATGCTTGCAGGGCAGATTACAGGATGGGGCTCTCTTCTCGTTCCACGCTTGCACAGCTTCTGCTTCAGGGGTGCTGCATCGGGCTTTGCAAAGAGATGTTGGCATGGGAAATTCATCCTGCCCAGCACCTACCGGTCACCATCGGCCATGCCCTGTCTGCCCTAAGCCCTTTTTTCAGTTGGGGGAGGCCAGGGGAAGTGCAAGTACTGCAAAGGGTGACCTGTTCTGCACGCACGGGGCATCTGGGGAGCACATCACGGCAATGTGGGTTTGCACAGGAGGCTACAGCCCCGCAGCTGGTGAGCGATGGGTCTGGCACTGGGCGAGGGCAGCCCAAAAACAGCGGCATCGACTGTTTTGCCAAAGCTTCCCTCCTCACAGCCCTATGGGGCAGGAGCAGTACCAGCAGATCCCCAGAAATGCCAGCCTGGAAGGGGATAGCGATCCTCTAAGGGAGGCTGGCAGGACCCCCTGAGCAGTGAGGAGGGGACCTGCCCCCGAACATCCATCCCCAGCACCACCAGGGACCACAGCCGGACTCCAATGGCCACTGGTAGAAAACAATCATCATCACTTCACGCTGCCAAAATAGTCAGATCTCTCCAACAATGCCTGTTCTTCTCTCCCACTTCCTCCCCAGAATGAAACGTTTTCACTCTGAATTTTTCCCCCAGCAGTTTTGGGTTGAAACAGCCCCAATGCAACACAAGGCACAGCGTGGTTTCCCTGCTCTCAGCAATCCCTCACCACCAGCTTGCCAAGAGAGGGACCGCAAAGAGAGGGATCACAAACACCTGCCCGTTAGCCCCATGACCCTGCAAAGGGCATCCAAAAACCCCAAGTCACTGAATGCAAATAAGGAGGAAAGTAAGAGGCTGAGAAAGATGGCAGGTCCCAGAGCAGCGGATGAAGATGATGGGACCAGGCAGGATTTCTGGAGTCCAGCTCCAAAAATATTTCACAGCCCATTTGCTTGTGCCTTGCACAAAGCAGGAGAAGGATCTCCCCAAACTGCCCTCGCTCAGTAGCTGGAAAGACCCACCACACTTGAAAATTAAACTTGCTGAAATGTGCCCGTCTTCGTCATAGGGCTGGCTGGGGACTCCCTGCTGCCATCAGGGTTTTGCGCTCCAGAAACCACAAATCCCACCCAGGGAACCCGAAGCCCGGCCAGCCCCATGCCTTACCGTCACCACGACGTACAAGCACCAAATCATGGAGGTGAGGTGGAAGGCAACCAGCTGTCCCGATTCATTGAACTTGCTGTGCTTGACCTTGGAGAGATGGAGACGCCTGTTGATTTTCTGGGAAGGAGCAGAGCGAGAGAAATGGAACAAGAAAAAAATGAGCCAATGGGTCAACAACCCTCCCTCCTCCTCCTCCTCCCCATCCCAAGCAGCCCCCAGAGATGAAGGCTCATTTATCACCACCTCAACTCCCAGAACACCCCCAGAACTGCAACAAGACCACATGCCCCCATGGTACTTGAAATATTTTGGCAACTCGAGATGCTGAATGGCACTCACGTCCAGGGCGTACTCCTGCACCACCGCATGCAGGATGATGGCGATGAAGATGTAGAAGAGGATGGTGACCAGATCCTTCAGCCCATAGTGATACTGGACCAGCTCCCCATCTGCAAAGAGACCAAACAGTGGGTCAAATCCCCGTGACCCAAACAATTTCCAGGTAAGGGATTAAGTGTTGGGAGGCTGGGGGGAGCTATTCCCAACACACAGCTTGGATGGGGCCACCAGGGAGAGGTCGTGACTGCGCCAGTGGCTGCAGGGCTGGAAAAACGGGCTCTAGCCGGGGTCAGCTCATCGCAGAGGATGGATGGTTTCCTCTCTAATAGTTACACACCTCAAGGGAGGAGACACTCAGGACACTTCAAGCTTCCCCTGCCAGAGGTGAGGGGCTGGGGACAGCCTGGCTATGGAGACAGGAATTTTATCAGCCTGGAGGGATGAAGATGTGGAGGCAGTGCTGAAGCAGGTGATGGAATCAGGGACAGCCCACTGGGAGCATTAGGGCTTGGGATGGGATTTCCATCCCCTTGGTTATCATCCAACACCCAGTCTCTCCCACTCACCCCTGAAAGCTGTGGGAGCAGGATTCAGCTGCCTAAATGCAGATGCCTTGTGCTATTAAGAGATCCGAGACAGCGGCACGGGGCTGGCGGATGAGTAATAGGACCCACAGGAGGCCCGGCTCTTCTGGAGCAATGGGAGACTCAACAGCACCCAAAATACCGCAGACGTCTGCATTTAGGCAACTATTTGCAGCCCTGCAGCTCATGGGGAAGAAGCAGAATCGGGAATGCTACTGTCCTCGTAGCACGCTGCAGAAAGCATCGCAATGCAAAGCTCAGCCCACCCCCAGCTGCTTCTCTCCCTTACCCTGATCTTGTCCATCCTCTCCTAATATCAATGCTGGGAAGGGACTTGTCACCAGCCCTGTTTACCCATGAACAAAGCTTCAGTCCAGATTTCTAAGATTTGACGTACGTGAGTTAAGATTTGAATACGATTTAGGAAAACACCTGGCGTAAGGATGTGAAAACACTCGGTCTTTAGGAGCCCTCCAGCTGGGTGCTGTGCAAACCCAGAGGTAAAAACGTTGCCTGTATCACAGAGCTCATAACCCCAGAGTAAGATAAAAGAATTGCAAGACTAAAGAAAATAACATGCACGTGTGTGACTGCTCTGCCTCCTCTCCTCTCCCTAGGGCATTTCAGAAGCTGCTCTAGCAGGAGCCGTGCGTGCGCTGAGCGCAGGAGACAGGAGGGAGATCTGCCGGCGGACAAGCAACAGCATCCTTCTTGTGAGGGATGGGAAACAGCCTTGGAAAAATTCAGGTGAGCAATAACCCTTCCTCTGAGCAAGCTTGCTGCACCAAGGTCTCTCTCCCAACAGCCTCAGCTAGCTCATGCCCTGTATTGATACCCCAATACCTGGTCCTAGCAAGATGGTTACATGCCCCCCTGAGATTTCTGGTAGCAGGGAAGAATAAATCACTTAACACAAAGGCAGTGGAAGTTGTCTGGACTGTGTCATAGGGGCACGCGGACGGCAATTGAATCTGGAAACTGGGTAATTTCTTCAGCCATGACTTTCAACGATTTTAAGGGCAGAAGTTTTATCTTCCATGCGTCCGCCTCATCCTAGTTTCACTAATCCCAACAACCCTGCTCTTCCCTTACTCAAACACTTCTAATTAACTGCAGTTTTCTGCCACCAAGCCAGGCTCTGTGCCCCAAGGCGTTTGGCCCATCCTGAGCCCAGAGCTTTACCCAAACCACCTCCTGCTGCCCCCACGCCAGTGCCCAGATCTCGGCTAGGAAGATAGCTACTACCAGCCAAAAGACAAGCAGGGACCGAGCCTCCAGTTGCCTGCTGGCTGGGAGCCGGGACACATCCTCTGCTCCATCGAGCTCAGACCTGTGCCAGCTCGGAGCCTCCTCGATTTATTCTCCATGTGCATCAGGACCATAAGCTGCCTGGAGCAGGGATGCTGTGCACCATGTGCATCTCCACACCCTCACCTTGTGCAGTTCCCAATAAATAAAGCGAGACGGGAATTATCCGCGCAGCTCCTGCTGCTTAGCAAAGAGCTAAATCCCTCCTGCTCCTCGGCAGGGCACAGAGCTACTCTGGGCATGCAATCAGGCAATTTGATCTTGCCTGACCAGGCTTGGAGGAGGATCTTCACCCTGCGGAGTGCACAGAGCGGCCTGACCATGGCAGAAACAGGGTAGAGTGAAAGCCCTGAAATCCCCTGGAAAGCATTTCTTCCCCACTCTGGCAGCACGAGGGCTGGCAGACACAATCAGCGTGCTCTGAGCGACTCAAACTTTGCTTTTCCCCTACACATCTTATTTTTAAAATCTCCTTTACTACCAGACAAGGGCTCAAGCAATGTGCATCAGTAGAGGGTGAGCCCAGACCAGCTGGCAGCGAGGGTTTGGGGCAGAGCACGACTTGACCCTCCCCTTGGGGCATCCACAGCAGAAGCATCTCTTACCTGCTGTAGGCACACTAACATTATACTGAGGTAAGATAAACAGGAAGGCAGTCTTGGCGGTAACCTGTCAAAGACACACAGAGGGGAAAAAAAAGCAAATCAGTTGTTGAATCCATTCCTCAGCCACCATTTACTCCCCTTTCCTACCACACTGGGAAAGGCAAATCGTCCAGGGAAATGTGCCGGCGCTGGCTTCACCCACAAACACCTTTCAGCAAGGAGATTGCTAGGAAAGAGGTTTGCCAGCAGGGACTTGGGATTTGGGAAGCAGAAAGGGATATATAAAAGAAGGACAAACCTGGAAAAACAACACAGCTGTAAAAGCCACCAGTCAGCCTGATGGGGGAAACTCCCTGCTTTCCCTCAAGGATGAGCATCCCTCCAGCATCATGGACCATCGCCATGTGCAACCTGCTGCTCAGGAGACACCAGGAGCCCGATACAGCAGGTCATTTGTGTTAATTAAAACCATTCCTCATTCCCATCCACTCTGGGCAGCCACATCAGGAGCCTGGCCTGGGTAAGGATGGCGGCACTCAGTACCCGAGCAAACTCAGAGGCTGCAAAGCCCTATGGGCTACACACGGATTTAGTCCCCACATCTTCGTGGAGGCTCCTCTAATAACAGCAGCCATGGGAGCGGTGAGGGCAGACCCCTTTAGAGACCGTGCAGGTACTCACAAGGGTCCCACGGCGCAGGGGAACAGCAGCTTTGGCAAAAGAGCCGAACCTTGCACTGGCCACACACAAGACCCCAGCTGCACGTCCAGCATTGCAGGCTGGCCCAAAAAGGGAAAAAAAAAAAAAAAGCCTGGGATGAGACAACAGGTCCCCTGCAAACCAGGGCTGTGCTGCTCTATCTTCATTTATTGCCTTTAATTAAAGGGAATGATCCTCCCCAGCAGTAAAGCAGGAGGCTTTGTGGGGACAGGGCAGAGCATCCCATCCCAGATCATCTGCAGGATGCTCCAAAGCCACATCTCCGAGACCAACGCACCCTCGAGCTGGGGCCACAGCAAAATCCGGTGCACAGACGTCTGACACCAAACATGCCTTTATCCCGTCCAGACCCACACCAGCAGTGGGTCACCAGAGATTTCTACCCTTCTGATGGCTCCTCAGCCACCCCTCCGATGCTTCACAAGCACCCACCCTCATATGCAACCAGCCCCAAAAAAACCCGTGCCTGTTGAACGCCGATGGAAAGGAGTTGCACTTCACACAGACGTAGCTGCAACTGTTTCAGAGCTGCAGGCTATTAAAAACCCGGCTGGAAATATTGCTTCACATCTTGCAGGACGTAGCCGTGGGGAGGGACACGGGGGTTTTGCCAAGTGTTCTCATCCCACCCCTACGAGCATTGAGCAACCGGCCGGCGGCTCCGCTCTGCTGGCACAGCCAGCGCTGCCCAGCCTCTTGCAGCCCTGGCTGGGGGATAGCAAATTCCACGGTGTCTTCTCATAACGTTTGGGGATTTTATTTTATTTTTTTCCCCCCACTTAAAAAAAAAAACAACTTCCCACATGTTGTGTTCTGCTTGTAGAGGAGTAGGTGCAAAAAGGCCTCTGCCGAGGGAGATGGGAGACCACGGGCACAGTTTGGGGTGGTAACGGAAAAAGCGCATCGCGTGGCCTCAAGCTGGCTTTGGGAGACTCTTCTGGCTCTTGCAAACCTTGCAGGCTAGGAAAGCAAAGCTGCTTCATCCCTGAGCAGTACAGCACAACCAGGACCTGGACTTTACATCCAAACCACGTCACAAGCTGGCGCAGAGCATGAAACAAATGCACGAAGCTGGCAGTGGCTGTGATGCTGCAGGGACGGGCGGCCGTGTCACAGATGTGCCGATGGCAGCAAGCACTGAAGTTTTTACATCTACCCAAGTATCTGGCTGACATCCAGAGGTGTAAACAGCTGGGAACAAGACATCATCTCCAGATGAAGCCTCCTAACCGGCTCGAGGGGCCATAAGCCAGACTTATGGGTCTATGAAAACGACCCTGGAGCATCTCCGGGGCGGGGAGTAATGCCCACATGGCGCTCAGCCCCAACACAGTTAGCAAGGACTCTCCTAATCTTCTTTTCTAGAGAGCCTGGTAGGAAGGTTTCCTCCATCCACTCAAGGATCAAGTAACATTTTGTCCCATCACCACACCTGCCTTTGCTTCCTGCAAGCCAGAGGACTACCAGCAGCTTCGGGGGCCACCTCTGCACCCCTTCACCCCTCCACCTTTCATTACAGAGAGGTAGCAGGTTGTTTTCTAAAGCCTGTGTTAAATGTTTTACAGCCTTGGACAAATGTCACCTCCTAAACATAGGCGAGCTCCTGACAGACCAATTTCCAAAGAACTGCCTCTCTTCTCCATTTGATGGATGGGGAAGCCCAGGCACACACCTGCAGTCACTCACTAAGGGCCACAGCGGCAGCTCTGGGAGCCAAATTTGAACCTCCAGGCATCCAACCTCCCCATCTATCTCTGGATATGTCACAGAGCTGACGCGGAGGGAAGGTCTCCTCTCAGGCATCAAAGGCTTTCCCTGCTCCTACAACCGGTTGGGAAGTGTTCACACTGACCATGGAAATGTTGGAACGCATGCAGGATTTCACCCTTCGCCCTGGCACAGTCCCCACACCTATTCCCCTGTGGGTACCAGAATGACTTTAACGGCCAAGGTAGCGTTTTTGCAGGTAGGTCTTTGGGCTTTCCAAGGGCTCAAAAAACTGGTTGCATCTCATTTGGTGAGCGCTTGTACCTCTATACTTTCCTTGCTGCAATTGCACAAGAAACTCAGAATGATGTACTTAAGGTTCGGCTCAGCTCTATCCTCTGAGATTCACCACCCACCAGGGTCCCAGTCATGCCACACATCCCTGGCCAGGTCACCTCCACCTCCCCACCACCATCACAAGGACATCTCAGTTCAGATAAGAAAAGAGTCGCAGTTTCTAGTAGCCGAGGCAGATGGAGCACGAAACGCACGGGATGAACCACCTTGAGCAGGACACTGGTGACATCTCTCCATCCTTGAAGGTACAGGACACCCCGCACGTCCACGGAGGGACCGGCGTCTTTTTGCCATTGTTCACAACACGCCCCTTACCAGCATGCACGGAGGGATAGGTGACTTGACCAAGGACGTAGCCGAGCTCCATCAAGTGAACATCAGGCTCCAAAATCCCACGCTGTAGCCGTAACCCCCACAGCATCCCCTCTGCCACATCAACTGGGAGCACCCATGGTCCGCCCATTGCTATACAGCCCTGCGTAGCGTATAGAGACAGAAACACCACCGAGCAGCTTCAGCCTCCTGGAAAACAGCAAACACTTGAATCGCGACCTCCAGCAACGTCACCTCCAGCTCCCTTGCAAGGCAGAAACCAGGTTTCCTTGGCTCAGGAAGGAGTAACAAGCCCCAGCGATGGTAAACCTTTAGAGCTTGCATCAAGCATTTCGCAGGCAGCCAGAAAAAGGAGAAGTTTGTAACGGGAAGAGCAATGTGAGGATTATTCAGAGGCACAAGATGCTCACTGTCTGTTTGCTCTGAAACAAGATGCTGGTATGGGAAAGGAAGCGCCAGGCACGCTCCTGCCTTGCAGGGCAGCCAACAGAGCCAGAGCTGCCACAAAACTGCTGCAGGCAGGGACAGAATTGGGCCTCTCCAGGTATTATTACATTTTTTGGGTTGTGCTGTGAGGCCACCTCCTCAACCTGCTTCTTTGGTTTTCTCCTCTTATCTCCAGCCTTCTCCCAAGGCAGCCAAAGTCCAAATCCTACAGAGCATCACCATGACTCAGGTAGGGATTTTTAGAGGGTGGGAGAGGGATTTGTCTGCATGGGGGACCGCCTCTATATTCCTCATTCACTCCCTGCCCTGCATTAAGGGCACTTCTGTGCAACCCACCACTGCCCAAGGGGGTGAGGGAGATGCTCCTCATCCCAGCCTCATCCTGCCTCACATGAGGGATTTGCCTGAACCAGCTAAATTTGGGAAGCAGTTGTCCTGAGGGCTCTCTACAGCCATTTAGAGGGAAGAGCATCTTCAGCAGCAAGTGGGTTTCTGGTGGTTAAAGACACTAACCCGAGGACCAAAGGGCAGCCGGACAGTGAAGAGGCAAAACTCAACGTTTCCATCAAGACCACAGTCTCCTGTGATGCTCAGAGGAGCCAGGACAGGGCTCAGGCTGTTTCTCATGGAGCAATATGGCTAGAAATCAAATCAGTGCATCCACCTCGCAGCCCTCGATGGCAGGATGATGGATAAAGCCAAATAATCCCAGCACTACTACGCATTTACCCTGCATCTACCATCCACCACTATGCATCTACGCCCCAGCAACGCGGTGACTGGAAAAATTCACACCTCCACTAGCCTGGAGTTTGCTGCCTAACACAAAGCAGCAAAGTTCCCCCTAGGCTTTTTAAAAGATGCTGTTTTTTTCCCTGCCACAAACCACCGTAAGAGTCCAACCCAAAACCCCAATTCCACTTTTGCAGGCATGCAAGCGGCTTTTAATAAAGGCATCTAAGCATCTGTATCCAGGCAGCTTAGCACTTCTCCCAAAATCTACCCGCTGCGACTCTCAAACCCTAATATTTTCAGAAGCTGGGGATCATTTTTGAGCATCCTTCGCAGAGAGGTATCAGCTCACTCTATGAAACCTGGTTCCCTTCCCAAACGCCACAGCCCAGCGGGATTTGCAGAGTCCGGGCTGCCTTCAGCCCAGCCGGGAGCCCCCCCCGGCACGCAGCCACCCCCATGGTCCTGCTTGGGTTAAAACCGCTTTGGAGGAAGGAAGCGGCTCCAAACCTCTGGCGGGGGAGGCTGGGGGAGTTTCTGCAGTCTGAGCCGGGAAAATATTTCCAGGGCTTGAAAAACAACTCCAACTAATTAAAGATAAAATGCTGTCTGAAAGCTTTTCTCACAACTTAGGGGTTTTTTTTCCCCCCTCTCCACACCAGCCAGAGTATTTATTGAAAGAAGAACTTGTTGCTCCACGGTATGGATTGACACAAGCCCTATATGTAAACTAAAGGCCAAACTTTGGACCAAAGCTTTTAAAAGTAA